ACTCGTGTAGTGGCCATCTTAAACTAGAGTTTGTAGCTTAATGATGCATTCCTCTTCGTTAGGACTGCTATGGTGTTGTTCTTTTTTAATTCCGGAAGCAGTTTTAATCCTGCTATGGTGGAGTTTACAGTTTTGGTTTTCTGGATTAGCAGTCGGAAAGTAGGATATAATGTAATTAGTAGCTATTAAAAAATAATTACTTATTAATAATTAGGAGATCATATAAATTAATAACCATGATGATGACTGATATTGGATCGCTACAACCTTACCGTAAGTACTATTTAACGCTTGTTTGAAAAATTATTTGTTTAACCAATAGGAAGCCACTTCTTTTCGATATGCAGCAAAATAAGTTTTTGTCTTAATTATTCTGACATACAACATTTTATGCCGACGAAAAGTAATCCATTTATTCATCACTTGCTTGTGTAACATTAACTCACTATAAGACCGAGTTTTGTCTTACATTATAAATATTATTTTCTCCCTTTGTGCTTTTAAACAAAGAGTTAATTGAACTTAATATGAATGATATGCATACGTTAAGCAGCGTCGTTTCGCCATAGATTTGAGTACTGTTGAGCGTTTATATATTTGTGTGGTATTTAAAATTGACAAAACGGTCCTTCAGAAAAGCTTGTTACAATAGAAATTGCGATGTTGGGTAAGTAAACATGTCAATCCATCAGACTGAGTTCAGTCGACGATGGAGAATAATTAGTTTCAAGGAAAATACAGGGCTTGGAACATTGTTCTTATAAATTTCAATTTAATCTAGTATCCAACACTGTATTATCTGTTAATTTTTTTATCATTAATTAACCATCTGTTTTAATTAATCCAATAAAAATATCCAAACCTAATTTCGTTACGCCGGTTTAGAATTACTTTTATTTTCTATTTTAAAGGAAAATTTTCAACGTTTTTGTCAGCTGATGGGATGTACTTGTTACATTTCTCTCTATAGCATATTATACAAGAAGTGACCAAGTGAACTAAACAAAGTTTATGTTGACGCAGTTGATTTCGCTTTTCATAATTCAGCCAAATCTTTGCTACTGTATTTGCAAGATCACACAACCATGAGTTTAAGTACTTATTTTTTCAAACAACGTTGCTGTATGTAGAAAGTTTTCTTTTTTATATTCCATCAGAATATTGAAAACTAATTAGTGTCCTGATTAGCCATTTCAACAAAAATTAGCATCATTGTAATTTAAAATTTTAAAAGTAAGTGTTTTTTTTAATTGGTTTCGCGTATTTATTTTAACGTGATGTTAGAACACACTTGATTTGTTACTGGGTGATAAGAGGCCATTTGGAGACTCACCATTATTTAAAATCACTCTGTCTAAAATTATGTATATTTACAAGCAATGAAAAACGTTTTGCTGTTTTAGCAAAACAAAAAAACACGTTGATTATAAGTATAACCGGTAAAAACATGCGAGTTATATCGAAATACTGCCATTAAGAACATTTTCACATATATTTTACCTTAAACAGTTAGTGATTAAACGTAGGAGATTCACATATAGTAGTTTATGTAAGAGTTGATAGTAAGAAATTACAAATATTTGGTGTGAAGTAGGCAAGTTAATTTAAAACAATTATTGATTAAAAGGAGTTTATATTGGACAGTAAATTTGATTTGGCTGAAAATTTATCAAAGACAGTGAAAAAAATAGGAAATTTATGTGAAAGGAGAAAAAAATCACATTATAAACAGTTGGTGTGTTGTGTTGTTGTTTAATATGTAGTGGAATCAAAAATGTTGTTTATATCATGGTTAAAGCTGTTCAGTCTATAGAAGAACTGTCATGGGATTAAATTCATTAAATTTCATTTATGGTATAGGTGAACGGTTGGGACAAAGTCGTACACTTTCTGTTAGATCACGGAGCAGATATAAACCACCTAACTGATACTAACCTAACAGCCTTGTCGGCATGCCTCATGCTTCTGTATCCACAAATATCAATTTTATTTCCGGTGGAAAGTTGCCGTTTTTTCGAAACAAGCACCCCACTTCTAAAACAGCCAAAATCTTCTTGCAGCCTGGTTTCTCATGAAGATTTACAAGGTTATTTCTCAAAAGAATGTTATCCCTATGTACCGCATCAAACATCTGCAAATTCATTTGCTTTAAAAGAAGAAAAATACATCTCTCGAGAGAAATTACAAAACCAGTCTTTTAGTAGCTTATATTTACATAAAGAAGAAAGCGAGCTTTCAAATGAAGAAAATGTTTCGGTGCCTAAATTACAAAATCAGTCTTCTGGCAACCTACATTTGCTTAAAGAAGAAAACAAGGTTTCACATGAAGGGAATGATGCATACGTATCAGAAAATTTATTTTCCAAAAATACGCTTTCTGGTAATTCAATCTCTACATCAGAAGAAGACATTATGTCTACATCAGACGGCATGTCTCATAATAACCAAGGCTCCTGTAAAAAGGAAATATGTAATCCCTCAGATGCAACAGTAGCATCTTTAGGCTCTCCTAAACTATTTAATTCTTCTGTCATAACATCATCCACTAAGGACGAGGATGTAGCCTTACATCATTCTGACGAACGCCATTTTTCTAAATCTGGCATCTCTCAAACATTGTCCACCACTTCTTTTCCTATGATTTCTCCAGAGAATAATGACCAAAACTTGAATTATGAAGCGTACACGAACTTGAAACGTTCACATTCCAGTACATTTTCCTTTAATACCTCCAAAGTAGAAAATATGTACATGGCTGATGAGCAAATTTTGAGGTAAGCGAATAATTTTATTATTATCATTTAGCACACTGTCGTTCATGCTCTGGTAACATAACTGGATGAAATTTTTTATTATTATTGTTATTTGTTTTGCTTTTTGTCTGAAAAGTGTACATGAAGTTGCCTCTTCTAAATTTTGAAGGTGAGAGAACATCGTTAATTAGCCATATTTATCATCCGAGCCTGGCATGGTTTGTGTTTAAATTAAGCGTAGACCCGGCATGGCCAGGTGGTTAAGGCGCTCGACTCGCAATCTGAGGGTCGCGGGTTCGAATCGCCGTCACACCGAACATGCTCGCCATTTCAGCCGTGGGGGCGTTATAATGTGACGGTCAATCCCACTATTCGTTGGTAAAAGAGTAGCCCAAGAGTTGGCGGTGGGTGGTGATGACTAGCTGCCTTCCCTCTAGTCTTACACTGCTAAATTAGGGACAGCTAGCGCAGATAGCCCTTGTGTAGCTTTGCGCGAAATTAAAAAAAACAAACAAACAAACAAATTAAGCGCATTAAATCGCAGCCTAACAATTCTGATCTAGCCTGCTTTTGAACAATTTTTCTTGTGACTTTCTAGGGCTTTCTGCGACTTATAATTCACAGGCCCTATCGCTTTCAGTACTAATAAAAGTTTTCACAATTTAGAACCCAGTTGTTTCTTTCCCACTATTATTTTGTACTTTTTAATACGGACAACTAAATAATATAGTAGGCTAGGAATGTAAAAGTTTATAGATAATGCCTTCGTGTAGTATTTTTTAACATTGCGCATTTTTAATTGGATTGATTATGATTATATAGAAAAAATAATGAATATGAGTAACATTGTCTGAGCCAGACCTTCCCAACCTGGTGTACATGTACCCTCAGGGGTACATTTGCACTTCTCAGGGGTTCATAGGGGTGTGAGAGTATAACCATGGTTTACACTTTACATGGTGTTTTAATCTACAGTCAGACAAAGTGGCTCACATAAATATACGCTATTTAGACAAAAAGTTGTGATTATGGTGAACGTTGTGATGTTATTGCTGTGCTACATTATAACTCATGTTTTCAATAAGTAATGTAGAACATAAGCAATATAGAACACCCTCGTTACAAATCAGCTGATAAACTAGGGATCAGCCAACTTGTTTCGATCTCCCGACTTTGCAAATTGCGAATAAAGTACCTTACCACTAGGACCTGTTAGGCTGCACCATTTATTTAATACTGGAGTTTTCCATTAGTTATTTTACTAAGGACTGGCATGGCCTGGTGATTAGGTCATTTAGCTCGTAATTTGATGGTCATGGGTTTAAATACCGGTCACTGAACATGCTCACGCTTTCAGCTGGGGAGGCGTTATAATGTAACGAGCAATCCCACTAGCGCAGATAGCTCTCAAGTAAATTTGCGCGAAATTCAAAAAACAAACAAACATCGCTTGGTTGGACATTGCAAACACTTGATTAATCCATCACGTGGAATTAAAACTACTTAGTAAGATAATATAAGGTATTTAATAAATTTTAAAGTATAGGTTATAAACACAAAATTTCAAAATGTTGTCAGTAAAAAGTTAATAACTGTTAAAACGATCCGAAAAGGCCCACGAATTCTAGATTACTTATGCACTGTAATTTTGATAAAATAAAAGTAAAAAGATATAAATGAATCTGGTTATGAACTAAACCGTATTTTTTTCCGAAAAACCTAAAGGTTACTTGTTTGTTTTAGAGTAAAGCCACGTTGGGTTATTTACTATGTCCATCGCAAGGAATCTAACGCTAGGTTTTAGCGTTGTAAATCCGTAGACTTATCGCTGTCCCACGTGGAAACCTTTAAGGTTATAATAAGTCACACATATATAATTTGTTACAGATTTACCAATTTTGTGTTTTGTTGTTTCACTTACCACAGGCGTCGCTAGTTGCTTAAATGATTCGGGGCTCGAGCCCATAGGTGCTGGAATTTTCAGCGTTTCAATATGATATTGATCATGGGTTTTCTGTTCTGATTTTTCAAGACGCCAACTGGAGAATCGGGGCACGGGTGCCGTGTGTCAGTGCCTAGTGACACCTCTGCCACTTACATCTTACTTTTTAAATGTATAAAAGTATTAGTGATCTACATGTGCCCCTTGGTGCTTCAGAGGTAAGTCTGAAGGCTTATAACGCTAAAAACCCGAGGTTTGTTACCTGTGATGGTCTGAGCACAAGTGCCTCCCAGTGGCACAGCGGCATTTCTGCGGACTTACAACATTATAAACCGGGTTTCGATACCCGTGGTGGGCAGAGCACAGATAGCCCATTGTGTTGCTTTGTGATTAACTTCAGAGAAACAAACAGAGCACAGGTAGCCCATTTTGTAGCTTTACGCTTCAACAAACATGCACGTAACACCACTTCTGCAACGAATTCATTACTGCTCTGTTAGATCAAATAAGACGAGCTTTTGCTTTAATATATTTTTAACATGAACCTAGAGACTATTTTAAAGTTATCTATTGTTTAATTTTATCGCACCAACTTTATTCCCGCAATCTAGGAAGGCTATTCTTAACATAGAATGAGTATTTGAAATATCTCCAGTCATATTGTGATGTTTCAGTACACTTGATAGCCTCGTTTTATTTAATGTATTGCATAAAATGTCTATATTATAATTCTGGGAATTAGCGTTACATTGATTCTTGTCCTAACTATTTCATTAACTTTGTAGTTGCGTAGTATTCACGTACACTTCTCCCCGTCAGAAAAGCATCTGCAAAACGCAGGTTCCAGAAATGTAACACAGGGGATTAAGGGAACTCAGACAGCGAATGGATACAAGAAACACTAGTGCACAACTGAAATTATTTTTATGCTTACAATAAATAGTGAATGTGTTTGCACTTAGCTAGTCGGCTTCCATTGCATTATAACTCAGACTGGCTGCTAAGGCAGAGGACAGAATTAATATATATATATATATATCCGGAATCATGAAGAAACCTACTTTCAAATCAGACCAAAGTCCTAGTGCGTTATCCCACAATCCTTAGAATACCTATATCAATGATCATACCAAATTAATATGTTCAAGAGAAATAAATACCAATTCATATTATCCCATTAATTACCAAACTAAATGAGAGAGCCAGTTTTATTACATGTTATATTTTCTAATAAGATCTAAAACTAATTGCCACAACATGGATACAATAAAAGTTTTAATCATCTATGTTTATGTTCTAAAATAGGAACATCAGAAGTGATGGTCCTCACGCACACAAGGAAAGATGGAGTGAAAGTTATTTGTGCAAAATACAATGTATATTATAAGCTTTTTATAGATATCATTATAGAGAAATATCTTCTAAATATATAGAACAATAACTTCTAAATCTAATAACTCAGTAATAAAATATCCACTTATCATGCGCTTCATATTTCCCCACAATTCAAAACGTCGCGTAATAAAACAGATGATTTATATCGTTAAAACAAAAGACCAGTACTCGAGCTAAAATTAGCACGTAAAGTAAAATGATTAAAAGCAATAAACCAGGAGAGGTAAAAACAAAATGTTCCAAAAATGGCACATTGGGTTAAATTGTACAAGTCTATGCACCATCTCTTGAAATGAGTATGAACTCACTCCAGAAGAGCATAAGATAGAAACGGGACAAACAAGTATAAACTTATGGAACAAATATTGTTGTGTGTAACTTTACTCTTTGCAGAAGGATTAGTGTAAATTTATTACCTTTCCACAGCCTGTTTGTAAAGATGTCTTAAATACTACAAGACTACCTGAGCAAAAATTTAGAAAAAAAATACACGAATAAAGATATATTCTGAAATAGTCACAAAATGATAAAATTTGATGGCATTTAACGTCATTGCAGTTGAAGTGTTTTGATGAAAAATTAAAAAACTTAAAAAGACAAAAAAAAACTTTCACACAATATCAGATTGTGTGAGAATTTGTTTTTTGGTATTTTAGCCTGAACGACACTTTATGCGACACATGGTAGTGTGAGAAAATGTATTTATTTTCGAGTGATTTTGTAGACGTCATTAATACTTTTTTTTAATGAGATCACATAGTTTTAATTATTGATGGAGTGTTCATATTATTGAGTTTTAGAACAGTTTGTTTGTTATCAATTTCGCGCAAAGCTACACGTGGGCTATCCGCGCTAGCCGTCCCTAATTTAGCAGTGTAAGACTAGGGGGAAGGCAGCTAGTCATCACCACTCTTTTACCACAGTATAGTGGGATTGACCGTCACATTTTAACGCCCCCACGGCTGAAGGGTCGAGCATGTTTGGTGTGACGGGGATTCGAACCCGCGATTATGAGTCGAGCGCCCTAACCACCTGGCCATGCCGGGCCCTTTTAGAACAGACATGTGATATAAAAAGTTAATAAAAGTTTTACTCAAAAATAGATGTAGATAGTATTATTGCGTATTGAGAAACAAAATTTGTGAATTCAGTATAGTAGTTGATATTTGTTTTTTGTTGCTAATGTTATTTGTGTCGGTAAGAAGTGTTATATTTTTTATTTTTCGTGGAAAATTAATAGTATCATTGATATTTTGAGATGAACATCTTAAATGAGATAGTTTTACTTGAAACGATATAAATCTAAGTTACAAACACTACGGTGAAATACCAGAGCTTTTGTTACACAACACATTTTGGTAACATTACGCAACATACAGTGTGTTGATATGTTGTTTTCACAAATGTTTACTTAGTGCAATATTCGTAATTAATGCTTATAAAACCACTGCTTAACCTTATAATAGCTATATTCTCATACGATAATCTGCTAGTTATCCTTCTTAGATCTTTTTAATTTTTAATAGTTTCCTGAAGAGTGATTGAGTAGAATTTATGACACGACGTAGCCCAAATTTTTACTATTTTCATATTAGAAATCGAGTTATAAAGATCGTTGACCAAATCCTAAAACGTGGAGCTGACCCTAACTGTTTCTTTGTCCCTGTGCCTGCATTGTTTTATCCAGT